GAGAATATGCATAGAATCACTTTCTGAGTCGATTTATGCATGTCCGTTCGTCCGTCTGTTGATGTTAAATTGTAAACAAAGTGCAGGTCGCATTTATAATGCGATTTGGATGAAATTTGGCACAAGCCCAAGGACGAACCCTATTGAAATTGGAGAAAATCGATTCAGATTTAGATATAGCTCCCATATATATTTTCGTCCGATTTTAGGTAAATGGTGCACTAAAGTCCCTGAAAATCATTCGATTTGTACACAATTTGACATAGCGTACTGAATTAAGTCTAGAATAACTTGTGCTAAGTTTCGTGAAAATCAGTTCAGATGTAGATATAGCTCCCATATATAGTTTCGCCCGATTTTATGTAAATGGTGCACCAAAGTCCCTGAAAATTATTCGATTTGCATGAATTTTGACATAGCGTACTGAATTAAGTGTAGAATGACGTGTGCTAAGTTTCGATTCAGATTCAGATTTGCCGATTTTTGGTAAATAGTGCCATAAAGTCCCTGCAAATCTTTTGATTTGCACGAATTTTGGCACAGCGTACTGAATTAAGTCTACAATGATGTGTGGTATGTTTCGTGAAAATCGGTTCAGATTTAGATATAGCTCCCATATATAGTTTCACCCGATTTTAGGTGAATGGTGCACCCACGTCCCTGAAAATCATTAGATCTGCACGAATTTTGGCATAGCGTACTAAATTAAGTGTAGAATGATGTGTGCTAAGTTTCGTGAAAATCGGTTCAGATTTAGATATAGCTCCCATATATAGTTTTGCCGATTTTAGGTAAATGGTGCACCAAAGTCCCTGCAAGTCTTTTCTTTTGCACGAATTTTGGCAAAGCGTACTAAAATAAGTCTAGAATAATGTGTGCAAAGTTTCATTAAAATCGGTTCAGATTTAGAAATTTTCGTCCGATTTTATGTAAATGGTTCACCAAAGTCCCTATATGTCTTTCGATTTGATTTTGGTATAGCGTACTGAATTATGTCTAGAATGATGTGTGCAAAGTTTTGTGAAAATCGGTTCAGATTAACATACACCTCCTATATATATTTTCGTCCGATTTTTAAGTAAATGATGCACTAAAGATCCATATCTAGGCCGACTGACACAACGTACTGAAGTAATATAAATTAATCTCTGACAAATTTCCTTGAAATCGGTTCAGATATAGATATAGCATAGCTTCCAGATATATTTTCGACGTATTCATCTTAATTGTTCACCAAATAATCAATGGGTGTCTGATTGAGATTAAATTTGTTTTTTGCTTTAAAACGATTTACAAAATTTAACATAGGTGGCAGAATGACATGTATAGGGATTGATATATGGTATAATTTTGCATCACCAGGCAGATTTAGTTGAATTTATATATAAATGTGTACTAAAAATGTTTAATACAGATTTTTCTTCCTACTCACTATAGGTAATATAGACAGTTTTTTGGACAAAAAGTAATTTTTTTCAATTTTGGAAAATAATATCAAAAAGTATGATTCTGTAAGATTTTTGCGTAAAAATGTCTTAAAAGCGGTGCAAATCGTAGCCAAATTGTACACTTTGAAATAAAAGAAATAAAAATATTTTAAAAATAAAGGGGTATTTTAACAGCCTAATTTTGTAAAATTCTAAACGAACGAATTCGAGTGACTTACGACCAAACTCCTTGTTTTTGAAAAATATGTCATTTATTTCTGTTTAGAATCAAAAAACATTTTTTATATAAATAAAGGTTTGGTAGTAATTCGTTCGAATTGGCTTTATTCGATTTTTACAAAAACAGACTGTAAAACGTTTGAAACCGCTAGATACAAAGCATAAACATAAAAATTAAACTTGGAGAGTATGGGCGGTGGTATGTGTTGTTTTTTAATATATAGTATTTGTTAATAGGTTTGTGTAGCGATTCAAAATTTACATAATTGACTATAATAAAAGAATTATGTTTAATTTTTACACATAAGTCATTTTAAATAGACTTTTACTAAAATGTTTACATTGTGATCTGATCTTTTCACAACCGAAATATATTAATGAAAGCCTTCTAAATTGATTCCAATAGATCTCAAATTGCGTTTTTCATATCAGTTTTTTGTAGGGAACTTCAGAATAAAAAACAATAAAATTTTCGACATTTGGTTTGATGGAAGAAATAAAAGCAAAGAAACATATTGTTATTTACAACGCCCCCGAAAGTAAAGTTGACAATAACAACAATATGGACGAAAATACCACAAATTAAAAGAGGACATTAGGTTATTTTGCATACATTTGTTAAGATGGACGAAATGTCATAGGAAGATATAACATTTCTGCGAAAAAACGAATACACCTAAGTCTGTTTGGTTCCAGAAGAAGCCGTAAAAAAGACATTGATCTTATACATAAAGGGAATTACCCTAAATTAGTGCTATTCACATTTGCTTTGATCAGTAAAAATTGTTTGTACGCGCTAAAAGAGAATTCATTTAAATCTTTAAGCTAGTGTTCGAAAACTATCGATACTATCTATGGTTTCAGAATTTTTTTCTTTCATAAATACTTTTTTGTGATTTGAACATACTTCGCAAAAAATAAATTTGACAACAAATATTTAAGTACATAAAATTTCAAATCGTGCTAAATGGAATAAAATCGTCTAAAAAAGTTAAAAATATACAATTTTCAAACCGTGTTATATCAAACCCGTGTACAAAAAGACCGTGTAAAAACAGACTTAGGTGTACACTCGAATTTTGATTACAAAATAAATAACGTGACCTGTACCGCAAATAGGTTGTCGAAGGAAAGATTATGAAAAAAATCTAAAAAGTGGAGAAGAGGAAGTGGCGGGCATGAGTTTCCCTTAGAATATAAACCATCAAAGATTTACTTTTTTCAGCATTGATTAAAAATAAAAAAGTGACATATGAAAAAAAAATGTTGTTAAGTTTACTATAATCCTGTTCGACTGTAGTAAGCATGGTTTTATTTCACTTTTACATATTAACAACTTTATGGAGTATAAATGGGTACTGAATTAATCGTTATTAATGGATTCTGTTAATAATACAACTTTGTAATAAATATTCCTTTAAAAATTACAAAGGCTTCAATTACAAAATAAATAAAGACAAATTAAATTAAAAAAGTCTAATCGCGGTGTCGAAATTTTTTAACTTACTACTCTAATCGTTTTCAACCGTTTGTTGTGTATAAGAAAACTAATGAACATATCCGAGAAAGAATTTCAAAGAAAATTTGTTGTGGCAATGAATATTTGTCCACAAACATTCAATTCTGATGATTTATCAATACTTTGCACATCGTAATATTTTATTGGTTCATTTATGCACCTCCCCCTCAAGGGTTAACATTTTGCAACGTTTAAATTGCATATGAAGTGAAAAGAATATCCAATCAACTTTGAAAATCGTGATATTTAAAAAAAAGTAACCCCGAACGTAACCCTGAACTACAAAATCGGGTCAGATTTAGATAAGGCTCTCATATATAGTTTCGTCCGATTTAAGGTAAATGGTGCACCAAAGTTCCTATATATCTTTCGATTTGCACGAAATTTGGCACAGAGTACTGAATTATGTCCAGAGTAATGTCTGCCAAGTTTCGAGAAAATCGCGTCAGATTTAGATATAGCTTCCATATATAGTTTCGTCCGATTTAAGGTAAATGGTGCACCAAAGTGCCTATATATCTTTCGATTTGCATGAAATTTGGCATAGGTTACTGAATTAGGTCCAGAATGATGCGTGCTAAGTTTCGTGAAAATCGGTTCAGATTTAGATATAGCTTCAATATATACTTTCGACCGATTTAATTTAAATTGTGCACTAAAGACCCAAAGATTGGCCGATCGGCACACAATTTTGTACAATGTACTGTTACTATAACCTTTCGTGTGTCAGATTTTCTTGAAATTGGTACAGATTTACATATACCTTCTATATATATTTTCGTCCGATTTTAAGTAAATGGTACACTAAAGGCCCATACAGACCCATACACGTTTTCTTGAAATCTGTTCAGATTAGCTTCCATATATAATTTCGATCTATTCATGTTGACTGTACACCAAATAATCAATGGGTGGCTGATTGATACATTTTGAACAGTGCGTGTGCTTTAAATCTATTTACAAAATTTAGAATAGGTTGAAGAATGGCATGTGTTGGAATTTATGTTAGTCGGTTTACTTATAGATAAAGTTCGCATATTAATGTTCGTTCAATTTAATGTCAATGTTCCATAGAAAAGGCGACGTCTGTTAGGATTCATCTGTTGAATATACCCAAAGTGGTGAAGGGTATCATATAGTCGGCCCCGTCCGACTTTACTACTTTCCTTACTGGTTTTTAATTTAATTTTTCGATTTCAAGAACAACAAATTGTCGTGACATATAATGTTACCATCAGCTGGCTTGATACAGTTACCTTATTAATATACCTTGGTATAAATATTACGTTGAAATAAATTCTGTTGGGTTTTGCAGTGTATAAGTGACATAATTCATGGTATATGGATATAAGGTTAAAGCACGTGTTGTTGTACAACAAGCAGAAAGCAATCCTAGTGTCATTCGGTGGTGCGGTCTGAAAATTTATCAATTTTAAAGAATTGAACAATTATCAATTGGTGACGTGCCCGGATTTTATTCTCCACATGACTTGCTTTTCCCAACAGATCGAATTTTCCACCAATTTCTGTACTGCGGGCCGAAAAAGTGCCTTACTACTTTAGTTTTGCGATCTTTGAATTTGTAGTGAATATTTATTATTTCAAAACAGTTTTGAATCCTGTAGATACTGTCAATGAATAAAATGTACGAAACACCAGTAAATTTTAAACGAACAATGCTTTTGTTGGAAAAATCTTAAATTTAATTAAAACCGATGGATTGCAACTAATAAAATTTTATTTATTTTTGCAGGTGGTACGTGGTTTTACTGATAAACAGTCTATATTTATACCAAATAAGTTCGTTAGTCGAGTCGAAGCAGATGCGCCAACAACAAAACTATATAGATTTCATGGGGCCTTAATACATCCCTCTGGTGAGAGAGTACCAATATCAACAGAGTGTTTATTACTCAGAGAAAGCAGACTTAAGGTAATATTTTGACCATTTTGTTAATTTTTATATAGAAGCCTACATTATGATTTTCTTTAGAATACCGATTTCATAGAAGGCATTGTTGTATATGCTGGACATGAAACAAAATCGATGCTTAATAATAGTGGTCCCCGCTACAAACGTTCCCAGGTGGAACAACAAATGAACATAGATGTTATCTGGTAAGACACATTGCTTGAGAATCACAATGTATATTTACTTACGTTTTTATTCTAATATAGGTGTGTAATTATACTGTTAATATTGTGTGTAGTTGGTGCTGTGGGTTGCAAAATGTGGCTTAGTTCTTTTGAACAGTTTCCTGTACCTTATTTACCATTCGACGTAAATCCAGATTATGAAGGCCTTTTGATATTTTGGACATATATTATAATACTTCAAGTCATGATACCATTATCTTTATATGTGACAATAGAGTTATGCAAAATATTACAAGTTTTCCATATACACAACAATATGGACCTATTTGACAGTGACACAAATAAGAAAACGGAATGCCGTGCAATGAATATAACAGAAGAACTTGGCCAAGTACAGCACATCTTCTCCGATAAAACAGGAACTTTAACTGAAAACAAAATGTTATTTCGCCGTTGTGTTGTCAATGGCACAGACTACAATCATCCGCCCTCAGAGTTAGAGAAGGTTTATTCAAAACCTGGATCTCCAGCACCGCCCTTAATAGCGAATGCCTCGCTTATAAACGATATGCTTAATTTAAGCTCGTCGGGACAGTATTTATCACAAAATTCACAACGTATTCAAGAATTTCTTGTTGTATTAGCAATATGTAATACAGTAATTGTTAGTGCAACACCACATCGTGATCTCATGAACGCCAGCGGTATAATTGAGGTACAAAGCAATAATGCTTCACTAGTGGGAGATTCGTCAGTGACTCTAAAAGGTAAGCTAGTTAAAATAAAATGAACATTATTATTTTATTGTGTTGTATAGAAAAAAAATCGAATCGGTAACACCTTAGAATTATTTTTTACCTTTAACCATGGTATAATAATAAAAGGTAACAGCAAGTGTTGTTGTACAAAAAACGATACAACAACCACATGGAAATTTGTTGTTGTAAGTTCTACTAGTGTCAACTCATTTGACAGAAAAATGTAAACAAACAAATTATCATCAAATTATTTTTATTTTGAAAATGGAATATTTTCGAATCCTCAAAATAAAAATTGAAAAACATGAATGAAAATCTATCAAATTTATATTTCTATCGCTTCCACATCTTTCCTTTAATTGAGCCATTGCCATATATATGTGTAACACATATGACAATGCTGGGAAAAGCGAGTAATTCCTTCAAGAAAGATTTGCTTCCTCAAACTTTCCCAGCAGGCAGATTGAGTAAATTGAATACGGGAGCATATTTTATAAAGAACAATTTCAAATTGTATGCGTTCCCAATTTTCCTGTTGGGTGATTTTTAAAAACATAATTTGTCAAATTCATATTGGCACTAGTATTACGTTGGAATCAAATCAGCTGGGATTTGCTGTTACCTTTTATAATTGTACCATGACCTTTAACTTTAAAAAATAATTAGCCAACTTTCGTAGATATGTTGAATTTATAATCCATTTTGTTATGTTAGGGTCCTACCTAATTTATTGCGCTCCGTACAAAAATACTCACCTTCTCACCTTTATAGGGTTTGTTAGACGTCCGTATTACCCAAATACGCAAGGACTAAATTTTTGCATATGCGCCAATTAAAAACGGCACATATGCCGTTTACATCTATAGAAAAACAATTTTTTCAATGACTAAAATTCTATTTTCAAAAAACAAAAAAAAAAAAAAAATAAAAATACGCATTGTCAATGTTGAAAAATTTAAACATTATATTTTTACAGCCTTAAAGTATGTTTACATTGTACCGGATTTGGTTAATCCAGTGGGTTTAAATTGTCAATTCCTTTGAATACATGTCAAATAAATCCTCATAAAGTAGGTTAACCCGGTAAAAAGTTCTAATGTAAATGCCGTATTAGTCCTGATTTATATTAGGCGAGTTTACTTGCGGCAATCATTGTCGTTCCCTTTTGAACTTGCTCCATGCGTCTATACAAGGCAATTCGGTTTCGAAAATATTTCTTTTTTCATTTGATGTCACATTTAAATAAATATAAAATGTCAACAAATACGAAATACACAAAACGAATTGCCAGAAAATTGTCGGTACGAGCAATTTTTGCCATTTCTATTCCCCTTGCCCCTCTCTCCTACAGTCAAAGACTTGCCGCAAGTAAACTCGCCTAATATAAATTGGACTTACCTAAAATTCAACTAGCTCGTTCGACGTTTTTCACCACAAAAGTAGAACACATGTATTTATATGAATGTTACCGAAATACGTCGAACGTACAAAATTTCAAGTTGAAAATTTTCAACTAGACAGAACGTATTTTTCATTTTTTTCTTTTGTTGAAAATAAAAACAAAACATTCAGGAAATTCGAAATTTCGAATGGAAACTAAAAATATGTGGATTAATTTAATAATTTTTCAATTTTGTTTTGCGGTTTGCATTATTAGCTTGAAGATATGGATTCGACGTATTTGGGTAATACGGCCGTACACAACATTTTGCCATAGTGGGGAAGTTGAATATTTTTGTACGCCCCGTCGGATTTTAGGTAACGTTGTTATACCCAAAGCGTATTTGGGTAACATTCATTGAAATACATGTATTTAACTTTTGAGGTGAATAAAATCGTACGCATACGCATGAATTTAGGTACGACTCTTAGATATTATTTGATAAGTTTGTATTTTTTTAATCATTGCAGCTGTAAAAGCTTCTGCTGACCAAAATGATTTATCAGGATCACCATCTGTTGCACAAAATAAATTGGCCTCAGCTATACCAGCAGATCGGTATGTACGACTAGCCGAATCGAGATCCGTGACTCCATCACCACCTCCAAATTTGCTGTTCAACATTCCCACACAATCACATATACCTTCGTTATCACCAATAAGTAGTTCAGCGGAGTCAACACCTACCTCAGAATCACCACCAATGAAAATGAAATCATTGTCACACAACATATCTCCTACAGGACGTGCTAAAGCAGTTATAAATTCTAAAATTACAAGTCTAACGACTTTTCTAAATTCAAAGACACAATCAAAACGATTAGCGAATAAATTACAGTAAGATGCAGTCATGTTAAGAGTTTAAGAACTTAATCCAATATCAATTTGTTTTCTTTCAGACAGCAAAAAAACAATCTCACATATCAAACACTTGACGGACGTCCATTGTATGAAGCTGAAAGTCCTGATGAATTAGCATTGGTGAATGCTGCTTATAGTTACGACTGTTGCCTTATTAATCGTAGTCCTAATCACATTTTAGTTAGCATACCCAATAAGGGGTTAGTCGAGTATGAAGTTTTAAAAATACTGCCTTTTGATTCCAGTCGAAAATGTATGTCTGTTGTGGTAAGACGCACGGGTACACAAGAAATTGTTTTATACACCAAAGGCGCTGATAGTTCCATTATGCCTGTACTTGCGCCATGTTCGCCAAATTCGCCCGATGGTATAATTCGTGAAAAAACACAACAGCAACTTGATCATTACGCTCGTGAGGGTCTGCGAATTTTAGTTATGGCCAAAAGAAATCTTAATCCTGCGGAATATACGGAGTGGTGGGCCAGGCATCAAGAAATTGAAATGTCTATGGAAAATCGAGAACGGCGCTTGCGTGATTCTTTTGCGAAATTGGAAAGCAACTTAACACTTTTAGGAGCCACAGGCATTGAAGATCGACTTCAGGAGGGTGTACCTGAAACAATATCATCTTTGTTGGCTGCTGGGATATCCATATGGGTACTAACCGGAGATAAACCAGAAACCGCTATTAATATTGCTTATTCAGCTAAACTATTTACGCAGCAAATGGAATTAGTGAGGTGAGTTTATGAGTAATAATATATATATATATATATATATATATGGACAATATTGCCAATTTTGTATAAAGCTGAAGCCGAGGTTCATCCCTTTATAACTCGGGAATTACTTAAGTATACACCTAAGTCTGTTTTTACATGGTCTTTTTGTACACGGTTTTGATATAACACGGTTTGAAAATTGAATATTTTTAATTTTTTTAGACGATTTTATTCCATATAGCACGATTTGTACTTATAGCACGATTTGTACTTAAATTTGTTTGTCAAATTTAATTTTTACGAAGTATGTTCATATCCCAAAAAAGTATTTATGAAAGAAAAAAGTCTGAAACCATCGATAGTTTGCGAACACTAGCTTAAAAATTTAAGTGAATTCCCCTTTAGCGCGTACAAACAATTTTTACTGATCAAAGCAAATGTGAATAGCCCTAATTTAGGGTAATTCCCTTTATGTATAAGATCAATGTCTTTTTTTACACGGCTTCTTCTGGAACCAATATACCGTGTAAAAACAGACTTATGTGTATGTATATGTGTCAAAGTAAAACTAAAAGCATACAAAATTAGGACTACGTCTCTTATGTATCATTTTTCAAAATTTTTTCTACATCTACCTTTAAATGATGACACTTCTAGTTTTAATGCGCAAACAGGAATTTCTAAAAATCGATTACAGGCTTATTGTAGTAATACTCATCCAAATATGACAATTTTGTGTTATGAATTTTCTAAAAAACCTATTATGCGGACCAAATTTTTAGATCTGTCAATTGAATGATGTGGGTACCAGCGATCAGTAAGAGTTTTTACGTTTCGATGAAATAAAATCTTCTTCGTGAAAATCCATCTACTAGAACGACGGGAACTGAGCATCCAAAAACACGAAATTTGGCAAAAAATGTTTTTGAACATATCGCGGATTTATTTGCGTATTCTGTTGCAATATATGACCTGTTACGGATTTTGAACTGTTGCGTAAACATAACCTTAAAAACTTCAGCCGAAAAAGAGATGTACCCAAGCGCATTGAAATGGGCCGCATTGGAATAGGTATCGGTCGATGTATTTTTTATCGTGCACTCCGAAATCGGATGCGCGTTAATGGCATATGGAGTTTTCGGAAATTATTCGCGTTTTACGAGTTTTTGGGTACTTCAATGCAACGTGTAGTACATTTTAACCGTCAAATGAAATTTCGCAAAATATACATGGAAACCGCATGCGCATCAAACGATTTTGGGGATTACGCGATTTAAACGCCATTTATTTTAAGATTTATTTCTATTTATAGAACGCCACCATTTATTGGAAGGGTCTTATTATAATCCACAAGAAGTGATTATTCTTATATATGCCCATTTTTCGCTGGAATTTGGGTAAAATAGAAGAAAAACCCCACAATTTTTTTCTGAAATGTCTTGCATAATATTAAACAATAAATATGATGACATTATTTCTTTGAACTAATAACAAATAATTTTCCTCGATATATTGTTTTGTTGTCGCTGTAATTTACAAAACGCTACACAGACTAGTGTGATTTTGATATAATTTGATTAATCGTGGTTTTTAGATTATCTAGATAAGTTTAAATTAATTTTTAGGTGGATGCATGTCATGAATATAATGTAAATAATGACATAATCTCCTATATTTTTATTATTTTTCTCATATTTTTTTATATCTGCATATTCATAATTCATAATTTTAAGATTTTTTATGTCTAAAATTTAAACATCGATAACATTTGCGCGCATCAACCAAAAATTTGATCGCAAAATGATTCGGAGCAGGACATTTTTCTCTATATGATTTAGTACGAAAACATAAAAGCCGATTTTTGGAAAGTGGAATATTAAAAAATCATCGATCAAATTTTTGGTTGATGCGCGCAAAAGTTATCGAAGTTTTAATTTTGGGCATAAGAAAAAAAATCTTAAAATTACGCCGTTTATTATATTGGTCAAAAACGTTGATATATATCTTCCTCCGTAAAATAAGAATATGAATATACTATAATAATCACGATAAAGTTGCACATGTTCGCCAAATATGAGAAAAATAAAAAAATATAGCAGATGACATCAATATTTTCATTATATTAATGACATACACACACCTAAAAATTAATTTAAAAATATCTACATAATCTAAACACGATGGTGAATCAAATGATATCAAAATCACACAAGTCCGTGTAGCGGTTTCTAAATCAAAGCACCAACAAAACAAGATATTGAGGAAAAATATTGGTTCTTGTTTCGAAAAAATAATGTCATCATATTTATTTTTTTAATTGTATACAAGAAATTTCAGAAAAAATGTTGGGGTTATTCTGCTATTTTACCCGAATTTCGCCGAAAAATTGACATAATAATAATCACTTTTTGTGTATAAGTATACGCCTTGCGGATTATATCAAGACCCTTCCGATAAATCTTAGAATTCTATAAATAGGAATCTTAAAATAAAATAATATTTTGAAATATACATTTTAAATTGCGTGTAAATCGCGTAATACTTAAAATCATTTGATGCGCATGCGGTTTCCAGGAAGCACTGAAGTTTATCTTCCAATCCATATATATTTTGCGAAATTTCATTTGACGGCTAAGATGTGCCACACGTTACATTGAAGTACCCAAAAAATCGTAAAACGCGAATAATTTCCGAACACTCCATATGCCATTAACGCGCATCCGATTTCGGTGTGCACCCTAAAAAAAAACCTCGATCTATACCGACTTCAATGTGGTCCATTAAGAACCATGTATGTGCCAGCTAACACTATTTTTGAGATAAATTGCGTCTAAATCGCGTAATTCTCAAAATCATTTGATGCGCATGCGGTTTCCAGGAAGTACTGAAGTTTATATTCCAATCCATATATATTTTGCAAAATTTCATTCGACGGCTAAGATGTGCCGCACGTTACATTGAAGTACCCAAAAAATCGTAAAACGCGAATAATTTCCGAAAACTCCACATGCCATTAACGCGCATCCGATTTCGGTGTGCACCCTAAAAAATACATCGATCATACCGATTTCAATGTGGTCCATTAAGAACCATGGATGTGCCCGCTCACACTATTTTTGAGATAAATTGGGTACATCTCTCTTTCGGCTGAAGTTTTTAAAGTTCTCTTTTCGAACAAGATCAAAATCCGTATGAGTCATTTATGAAGCGGAAATGATCCACAGAAAACGCAAATAAATCCGCGATATTTTCAAAAACATCTGCCAAATTTCGTGTTTTTGGAAGGCCAGTTCCCGCCGTTCTAGTAGATGGATTTTCACGAAGAAGATTTTATATCATCCGAAACATAAAAAACCTTATTGATCGCGGGTACCCATATCATTCAGTTGACAGATCTAAAAATTTGGCCCGAAAAATAGGTTTTTTAGAAATTTGATCGCACAAAATTCGCACCTTTGGATGAGTATTACTCTGAAGCTGTGCACACTACATACACAAAATACATATCAAATTACGCAGATTCACGACTACAATAATCTTATAATCGATTTTTATAAATTCCTGTTTGCGTATTAAAGCTAGAAGTAAAATTAAAAAAACACTCAAAATCGAGCTTCAAAATGTCAGCATCATTTAAAGGTAGATGCAGTTAAAATTTTGAAAAATGATACATAAGGGGCGTAGTCCCCATTTTGTTGGCTTCTAGTTTTCTTTTGACACGAAGACCGTGCAATGAATGGCTTAGTCACAAATCGATAGAGAACATAAAAAAACTGGTTCGCCTCAACCTGTTTTTACACATTTTTATACATTAAAGTAGACACAGCTTCCACCAAAATAAAGTTTGGAGGTCAATATCATGAACAGTTTGCAACGACAGATCAATTAACCCAAAACTATTCACTCTTTTCATATACTTAAGTAGTTCCCGAGTTATAAAGGGGTGAACCTCCGCTTCAGCTATGTTAAAAAATTGGCAATATTGCCCATACATATTATATTGTATATATTAAATAAGGATTACGTCCCTTATCTGCCCTCGATTTGATTGAAGATTTATATTTTTATAATTAAAAACCCTTAAATATACTGTACTAAAGAAATTTAGTGTGAAGGTAGAGAATTATTGTATGTAAGGATATTTTCTACACGTTGAGAACAGTCTGTACCCAAATTCAGTGAATTTGATTGTAAAATGTAGATTAATAGATACAAATACTTGCAATCGCGAGGTTCGTTAATAAGGGGTCTATATCAAAATATGAACCCAGAGACCACAGGCAAAAGTTATTTTGATATTCAAAATATTTAAGCCTAATTTTGTGGTTCGGTCAAGTGGTTCGGTTTATACCCGTTGTTTGGGGAAATACACGTGTTTAGAGTACTTTAAAACCAGTGAGCGGAGCAGTCGGACGGATAGTCGGACGACCATACACTACACAACTACCATGGAAATCTATATTCTCATTAATTGTATTATATAATGTTTAATATAATGTCTGTGCTTAGAGTAAAATATATTTCTCTGCATATAATTAATTTAATATATGCATGCATATTATTTTTCTTTTTTCAGATTAACAGCCCGTTCAAAGGATGCAGCAGAATCTGCCATTAACTTTTATTTGAACGAAGTTGAAACGGCAAAAAATGCACCGCATCGCTTAAAGCAGCGTGCACTTGTAGTTGATGGTAAAACCTTAACATTTATATTAGACTTAAGGTGGGTATATTATATCTTCTATTTATTTTCACTAAGATTTTTTTCTTTCAGATCGAAACTAATAAGACCTTTTCTGAAATTGGCTAAAAGCTGTGCTTCAGTATTGTGTTGTCGTTCCACACCATTACAGAAAGCATATTTGGTAAAAGTGGTAAAGGAAGAGTTACGCCTTTGTACATTAGCAATTGGTGACGGTGCCAACGATGTATCTATGATACAAGTAGGTGTTTATAAATCTGTGTATATGTTCAGATTTTGGTAAAATCTAATTGTTTTCTTTTAGATGGCTGACGTCGGCGTTGGTATATCTGGCCAAGAAGGTACACAAGCTGTAATGGCTGCTGATTTTACAGTTGCTCGGTTTCGCTATTTGGAGCGTTTACTTCTTACGCATGGTTATTGGTGTTATGATCGTCTGTCACGTATGATACTTTACTTTTTTTATAAAAATGCTGTAAGTAAAAATGCCAATTCTTTGTGATTTTTTATTAAGTTAGTTTGCAATATATTGTAAGCAAAAGTGTGCATGTACGAAATTAGCCGTTAATCGTACGAAGATAAGATCAAAGATCATTGCAAGGGATAAATATTAGGAAATGCGAGAGAACTATCCAATCTTTTAGAATAACGAAGGGATTAGAAAGACATAAAGATATGATAAAAGAAATTAAAACATTTTTAATGCTTAGCAAGATACGAAGAAGTATGGATGGAAGAGACTAATGGAGTTCGTAAAGAATATTGAATTCTTAGAAAACAAATACATTTTTATGAATATATATATTAGGACTACTAATAACGAAGTCTACTTTTATTTCTGTCAGTTACTATTTTTTAAATATAATAAATAATGAGGTTTTGAATTACCACAACATATTGTAGGTTGCAAATCGTGCTACATCAATATAAAAATGTTGAGTTGCATCTCTAAAATTGTGTTGTTTATTTTTTCGATTTTTATTTTTGCAAATATATAATTGTATTAATGACATTTTTAACTTTATATTTATATTCATTTTTATTTACTTTCAGGCCTTTGTATTTCTAATATTCTGGTACCAGTTGTATTGTGGATTTTCGGGATCTGTTATGATGGACCAAATGTATTTAATGTTGTATAATTTAATATTTACTTCGCTGCCGCCTTTAGCCATTGGTGTATACGATCAACGGGTACCAGAGGATTTATTACTAAGAAACACATATCTGTATAAAAATGTAATATTACTAACATATACTTTTAACAAATATATTAACTACATTCATATACGTATAGGGCCGTTTGGGTTTAGCCTATAAACCACATGATTTTTGGATAGTGCTGCTAGATGCGCTGTATCAAAGTCTGGTAGTATTCTTTATTGCATTATGTGCATATGCTGATTCCGATGTTGGTATATGGGAATTTGGTGCCACCATAACAGCTTCATGTTTATATACGAATTTATTACATGGTGTAATTGAAATACGGTCTTGGGTAAGAAATGATAATCTTAATGTTTTGTATATCGTAAAACTTAAACATTTTGCTCTTTCACAGACAATTCTCCACGTGCTTTCAATGGTTTTTAGTTTGGGTTCTTTTTATTTGTTTTCCATTGTTTACAACTCCATGTGCGTCAATTGTTTTGGTTTACCATCCAGCTATTGGGTGATCTTTCGATGTTTTAGATCTGCAGTTCATTGGCTTGTCATTGCATTGTCAGCCGTTGTAGCTGTTTTACCAAGGTATGTTTATCGTTAAATGTAATGTTAAATGTATATATAATTATTTGATATTTTCAGATTGGTTCTTACTGTTTTACGAACTACATTATATCCAGATGATAGTACAAAAGTTTTACTGCATAACAAACGAGAACGTCATAGAGGTGAGGGTCTGTTAGTTACTTGGTCAAGGTCAACATCTGCTTCATCAATATATAGGTAAAGAACACACAACTAATATTTATATACAATAGAAAATATAGGATTTATACCCTTAATCTATTATATGGTGAAACTTCTAATTTGTTGTTGGTGACAATTGTAAATAGGTTGAAATTTATTAGAGTTAATACAATTTTTATTTCGTTTCTGTTGTTGGAAATTTCAGGAATTATTTAAAAAGTGTAGAAAGTTTCGCTACACTTAAAAATGAAATAGGGTGTATTGTTGTTAAATAATTGTTATATGTTCCTTTTTTAATTATTAAATTTTTTAATTCATCTTCACCATTTTGCATTTTTTATTTTTAATTTAAAGTTTAAAAATTTACATTAAATAGATTTTTTATTTATTTACTTAACGTTTTTTTAATTTTGTATTGATATTAGTTGTGTGTTTTTATTTGAATTATGTATTGATATTTTTATTTTTGTTTATTAAAAACTGAAACATAGTGCAAAATAAATACTAACACATTAATTAAAACTAAAATTTAACAAATGGATTATTTATTGAAAATCATAAGTCATTTTATTTATTTAAATTACTTCATAACCGAAATCATATGCAAATATCACGACGAACAAAAACATTTAACACTAGATTGCCGAAGGCAGTCATTTTGACCGTTCTTCAACTTCAGGTCCAAAAACAACTGTATATATTATGACCCAGCTTTTTAAAATTTGGTGACTTTTTGTACCACATAGAACTACGTTTATTAATCATAGTAGCTGCTTCCTCCCCTCTTTCATTCCCCGTATTTACATGTGCTCGAAACCAGTTTGCTACTCTAGAAACACAAAGGAACATACAAATCGGAAAAAAATAAATTTTATATTTCCAGTCGATTTCACTCTTAGAGTACTTCCTCTTTTCGAACATTTTGTCCGCACTCTTATTTTTCAAAAGGGGAAACTCGAGAGCCATACCACCGAAAACAAATAATAACAACGTTTTGTATGATTGTAAATAATGTATAAAATATTAAAATATTAGTTTAAAAAATTTCTTCACACAACAAAAATTCTTTCAGAATGAGGTCATTTTGACCGATTTTAGGCAATATAGGTATATACAAAATTTCCGTCTTTCTAGTGTTAATATATATCACATATAATAAAATCTACCAAATATTAACCAATCAATACTACGATAACATTAGCCGGATATCAAATCGGTAAAATATTGTAAAAATTGATCCAATTTATAATGGACAGCTTGGCGGATGTTCTAAGGATAATAGTGAAATTAAATAAGTTCAGGATTGTCATTTGCTTTTTTTTTTCATATTTATGAAAATATCTAAAAGTGCAAAAACAACATATTAATATATAACTTGGTCTTAGTAATTCGCAGAATAATACAATAATGTGTCATTTTAGTCACTATTTCTGGCGGGCCATATGTGTTCAGGTCTATTTGAGATCTGCGCTTGCAGCATACGGTGATGATTCCCATAATAATATATCTCTAGTTTTCTAAGAGAGAGTAGTATAGATAATGATATAATAATAGAAAAGTAATAACAAAAAGTTTTATTGACATTTTGGTGTTGTTTTAAAAGGACAGTGGCTCCATAAATGAATTTTTATTATGTCCTTCTTTGCTTTTCAATGATTTTCCACGTCAAACCGTGGCCACAGTTTTCAAAGAGAAATTAATTGAAACCCTTATTAAAACTTTTTACGGCGTGGTTTGAAGTTTACTCTTTTGAAGGATTTACACAGAGACAGTTTTCGCAATTGCACAATGCTAGACGACGAGCTCTCCTTTAAGGACCTTTGTCATATTTCAAAAAAATACTTTCAATACTATCAGGATTGACCTGATCTGTGCCTATATCGACGCTAGACGCAACCTTTTCATCAAAGCATAAGTTGATTTTTCTGTTTATTTTATAAAAAGATAACTCTGTATTGAGGAAATCCGTCTAGCTTATGTTATTATTAATGTGGCCGATATACCCTAAATACATCGTACACATAAGATTTCTTGACAAGTACAATTAAGTTTATTAACGTAAGAAATAGAATCCTTTTAAAAATATTTACGTTTATTAGAATTAGAGAACACTTGATGATTCGTTAGATAACGAAAAAACAGAGATTACATATTTTAAATTATATTGGCATAACATCTCACATTTATAATAATCATTATTATTATCTTTTTTCAGAATCACCGATTATGGGTCTAAGAATCAGATTATAACATCAATTACCTGATTATTACTTAATATTAATATAAATTATAAACAACAATATACCAACGACTTTTTTATATGCATACAACTTTTTGTTATTTTTTTTAAATTATATTATAATATTTAAAAGAAATCCTGTCCGAGAGCCGCCTTTACTAAAATATACTAATTTGCTAAAATGTTGTATTAATATATTTTCTTAAGTAGAAAACAAATGTCCAAAAAAACGTAAACTGTCTGTATTACTCTAAAATAGTTTATTAAGAGTACTTATAATAACAACAAAATTATTATACACTATTTAGGGGTACGGGTGATAATATATATATATATATATATATACTGATCAATGCTTAAGTGATTTGACTTTTTATTTTATATTAAAGGCTACAAGTTCCTTGTAGCTGTGCAGTTAAATATTTGAACGCGCGCCTTAATTATTTTCTAATGATTAACTCTGTTTCTCGAAAGACGAAATTTTACATTTGCTGTACGTTACGCCAACATATGTTTCAATAGCCAGTAAAATGTAAAATGCAAACAATCAATGTTAAATGGAATATATTATTTTCCAATTTATTATTTTCTTGAAACAGGTAAATATTTTTGGCAAACTTAAGCATACTTTTTAAAACTGATATCAGTTTGTAATGTACCAAAAAGATATACTTTTAGGGCAAACTGTTGCCTATATCGAATATTTTACTGAATGAGGTCCACCATGTTCATTCTAATTTATTCGACCAATCATCTTTCTATTTAAGCATATCTATAGCCATAAGGATTGGAATATAATTCTGCCATAAAGATGATTATAACTACAAATTTTTTGACATTTTCTTTTGTATTATTTTTCCTTAAACTCTTTGGAACAATTATAAAAAAGGATTAACGTATTCATTATTTTTTTCTTAGTATACATTTTCGCATGTTAAGAAAACTATAAGTTAGGCCATTAAAGCGATATTGCAATCGAACAGTTATTGATAGTAACCGTTAGTTATATCCACTTTTTAGCCCGGAATACATAAATTGTACAGTAAATAGACCTCAATATTTTCATATATAATAGTTTAGGTAATACTTTCGTCTTTGGATTTAAGTTGTGTACATTTCATAATTGAATTCTTCATTTGTAGGACATGACAAACTTTAGAGGATCAATAAATTTAAATGTGATAGCTAAGATAATGCAAATAAATCAAAATAAATATACTTTCAATTTTTAACACAACTTTCATCTAAAGGCAATATTTTGTAGTAATAAGTCGTTAAATATATTTATATTAAAATACATTACTTTTTAAAAAATAATTATACAAAATTAAGGTATTTAGAAATAATAATAATAATGAAGAAGAAAAGATAACAATAATTAGCAAACGGCTGTGATTGTACACTCATTTTAGTAAAAAGTAATAAATAAAAATCGTTAAACTGATAAAACTACTTCTGTTTTTATGCAAGATTTCATTTGGAAGCGATACATAAATAAGCTGACTTATATTTTGATGAGAGCGCTTTTGGACTACATTTGACGATAACAATAAAATAAATTTTTATTAAAATGTGCTATATTTGCCAATTACATAAGTTAGCAATTCTTCGATAGGATTAGGGTCTCATTTGTATGTCAAGATGTGATAATTTCACGATGCATAAAAACTAAGTTGAATTTTCTGCAGTTTATTATAATTATCTTATATACAAGGTGGTGCAACGGAAGTTCAAGATGAAGCTGACTACACGACTGGAAGCTGTTCTTTGCACAGTGAATTATGGTATCTCCATTTTAGTTCTAACTATACATTCGGTATTTGCGGCATACGTTAAGTACTTTTCATTTTTACCGAAATGAAAAATTAATTGGTTATGATTTGATATATTGCAATGTAATGTATTCAAAAACAATCCAACATGACACGTCGTCGCATGACTTTAATAAATAAATACTTGTTATTTTTTGGTATTTTATACGTTTTCTTACATTTCATTGCGTCTTTGTGTTAGTTAATTTCATCACCTATTATTGAAACAAATGATTTTATATATATTCGGAATTTATAACTTGATTCCCGTCTCATATTTTCTCCTATATTCACATAATTTTCTCAATTTTGAAATTATGCATTTGAAAATTGTAGTTATTGAGTACAGATAATAATGAAATATCAAAGTTAAATTTTGTTAGATGAAAGCTCCCAAAAGTGTTCAGCGACATACATAGTTAATTTCTCGCATAAAATTTAATCGGCATTAATATTAATATCTGTAGGACCAACCAATCCAAATAGTTTTATTAAATTTTGTCCCTTTCCAAGCAAATGAGCTCGCCAGCATAGACTAACAGCGACATATTAATATTTATATGAGTAATTTGATTTAGCATTGGATTTTTTAAATCAAAATAAAGTTAAATGAGTAATAAAAGTGGTCTACAATGTAATTCAATGAGGTAAATGCCAATTTTAATCAAATCAAATGCGAGGCGAAATATTTAACTTTTTTAATGTATTCCAATCACCCCATAACAGTGCTACGTTGTATCGACTTTTAAATGCAATCTTTCTATTTTTATATACATATGTATGTATGTTTACATGTATACTCTATATTTATTTCAAAAATCATTGTTATATTATAAAATATGTAATTCCAACATTATCGTATAATAAAACATAACCCTGTCTTCATATTAAATCAAACCTATTTTTTCTAATAGTGAAAATATTTATATAATAAAATGTAATAGAAAATAAAACACATGACACTAATCACATAGAATACATATTATTAAAATATTTAATATAATAACCATATATTGTTAACGATATTTATAAAGAAAGTAGATTTAATAAATGTATTTTTACTAAAAGTAGTTTTGAGTTTTTTTCTAATACTGTTTTTGTGACCAAATTCTCATTTGTTTTAATTTTTTCCTGGGGATATTTCTTCCCTGAAGTTTTTTGTCTTCAGTAGCTTAAAGTACGGAAACAAACATAAGCCAGTACTAATACAAACAATCTATGGATAAATCCTGTGTACAAGTAATGTACAGCTGAGTTTTTGAAACTCTAAAGCGTGTAAAGATAAGGCGACCAGATTTTGGGAATAAAAAAAAACATCAAGAAGAAATGCAACATATTTTAGAAACAAATTTATTTATGTTCACAAATCTGTAAAAATTCTGGAAAAAAATATTGGAAAAGATTTACCACTTTTTTAATATGGAAGCAGATCGTATTTATATAAAAAATACTTTAAAATTAACTAAAATAAAATATTTATAGAACTTTCAAAAATTTTCAGTGAAATTGAAAATGACGAATAAAAAGTAAAAAAATTGTCTAGTTTTTATATATGCAGAAGGATGTAAATTTTGTTATCTACTTAATGCAATATGCATTTATTTCACTTTGTTTCTAATTAGCATACAAACCAAGAAACAAATGTGGGATAAACTTAAAAAAATCAAAATTTTTTATATCGTCATCATAAATGCAAACGGACGTAAGTCCCAATTTGGATTAGGCGAGTTTACTTGCGGCAAGTCTTTGTTTGTAGGAGAGAGGGGCAAGGGGAATGGAAATGAAAAAAAAAATTGCTCGTACCGACAATTTTCTGGCAATTCGTTTTGTGTATTTCGTATTTGTTGACATTTTATATACATATATTTCAATGTAAAAAGAAACAACAAATAGAAAAAAATATTTTGGAAACCGAATTGCCTTGTATAGACACATGAAGCAAGTTCATAAGAGAACGATAAAAATTGCCGCAAGTAAACTCGCCTAACATAAATCTGGAATAACCAAGGTGTATTTAATAAGGTGTATGCATCAGCAACAATAACTAAAATTTTACAAAAACAACATTATTGTTATAGAAATTAAATTGACATGCTGACAATTATTTATTGACATGAAGAAACAAAAACAAATTAATAATAATGAATGTTGAAGAATTAAATAAAACTATTTTTCGAAAGAACGAAAATAAATTTGCTGTTCTAGACGATTCGATTATTTATTTACAAATTATTTGACAAAATTTTAAATTTACAAATTTTAAGGCGCGGTCGCAGAAATTTTTAATTTTTTTTTCACAAATAACCTAAGGGATTCAAAGATATTAACCATACAAGTTCTGTAGGTGCAAAATTTGCTTGTACAAATCAAGCTTTCGGTCCGGTCGCGGATCATTTCGAAATTTTTATCACATGTAGTCCTTATGTTCACGAGATATTTGAGTTAAGAACAATCCTACGCGCTAAATATCTCTCATTCTGAAAGATAAGTTGAGTGGTCAATTGGACTTTGTTGGCTATAGACCTTCAGCTGTGGACTAATTCCAACCCGGGCTACGTAACACAATCTCAATGTAATTAGTCAAGTATTCATAAGAAACCCAGTATGGAAAATTCGGACGGGCCGACTATATAGACTTGGGATCTTTGGTATACCATTTGTATGAAATCAAACAATTATGCATGCAAACGTGACATGAACCATTCGCTTTGCTAAAGCACAACATACTGTCCAAAATTTCGCAAATCCGTGGGGCGAGACGCGAATTTGATCTCGGAGAGGGGGTGAGGAAATTCAAGAGAATTTATCCTCACGCTCTCCATCGTGAATTCGGGATGGACAAGATCTCCCTCTTGAATCTCACTGCTCGCACAAAAGTAGTAGGATCGGCGAAGCCCACTGTCTCTGACAAAGGTGCTAAGCCGACTTCTGACCTGAAGCCCAGCTCTAGTCCTAACCCGTGTAAAAATGCACAGAAAAGGCAATTGAGAGTATCCCAAAGCAAAATGTCAAGCATAAGGGTGATCAACGTGCGGAGGGCTCTGTCTCAAAGCCCTATTCTGCGCCTAACGACAGAGGTGAGGCAAAAGCTCTGGGTGGATCCAAAAGTGGTCGAAACAGGAAGAAGGGGAAGTCAGTCAAGGAAGAGGGAACAGATGTCACCCCACAGAATAAATCTGTGAAGCGCATCCGCTCTTCAGAAGGTCCGCAACCCTCACCCAAGAATACGATGACTTCTCGTCTGGTAGATCCTTCTACGGAGAAGGC